ATGTATTTTCAGTCTCTCAGTGACGATTGGAACTGAAAATGAAGCACTTGATGGCAGCATCATATCATTTGTTACTAGCACGAGATGTATAATCACACAGCTTGTGATGTTTCAAGTACTTTTTTCCCTGAAAACATCTACTTGCCTAATGTCATATCTTTACGAAACGTCACCTTTAAAATGTACCAGGATACTGGAGAAACCTTCTGGCAGTGGAGTACGTAGTTGCTTTAATCTGAGCAAACAACCTCAGAGAGTCTCATTCCTAAATTGGCTAAGATGTGTGTTATAAGACACCATTATCGTTAAGAGCCTTAAGAAACTTCGATGAGATGATAGAGCAAATGAGGTGAGAGAAGTGGCAGTGAGACATGAGATGAGAGAATAAGGGACGGTACTGATTACATTTGCCAACAATTCCCTACATGATCTTCAGAAAAGTAGTTTTCCATGTTCGACTAGCATTTTGATGCTCGGAGCATTGTCAAAAGTTCACGTAACATCAAAATGTGAAACTGAACTCCATTTCGAACCAATGGAACCGATATATAAACATGCATTCTGCAAAATCCAATCGAAACCTCGCATAGAAGCCTTTGCATATAACTATGCTGTACTTCGGCCATACCACACCTAAGGTATCAATCAGCAACACTATCACATACCCCACATGAGTCAACACTTTACATCACCTTACTGTAAAGTCAGCAGACAGTGGACATGTCATGATGCAGTGGGAGCGACTGCAGTGGTAAAGATGAGGAATAAACTGCAGAGCCTCCACTTTCCCGTGTTCTTGATGCACTAACGCTTTGATGCCATGTGTAGTTCTAGATACTACACTGGAGCTCTGCTGTCCACTGGGTTTTTATGTTTAGTGCTATGCTGTGTTTCAGCCATAGAGAGTGACCACAACAGCACTATATCAATCAACCATTGTAATATACATACAGTGGGTCAATGATAATACCTAAGGTTGCTTTTTCTTGAGAACGATGTCCACTTGGTTGAGGCTTTGCCACAACTGCTGTTAACTTCTGGGAGGCAGTCCCCTTTGTTGAGTAATGAACTTTCTTTCTAAGAGACCCAGAACTTGGTCCCGTGACCTTGACTTATGGACCACACTAGTGGAGGCAGGACTGAGAGCTACAGGAGGTAATTGAAGGCTATCAATCATTCTGGTGTAGGTAAAGAGGCTTACCTCTAAAATGAGTCTGAGCAGGTTTAGCCATTTCCTGGGATCTATGTCTCACGGCTTGATGAGTGGGGCGAGAGTGTCTCTTTGTCCATTGAGTGGAATCTCCAGGAGATCTAGAGCCTGTTCCTGGTAACTTAGACCTGGAGACTGAAACGGTCGAGATAGACTGTGAAACTGATAATGACTGGGAGTCTGCAGTTAATGCTGGAAGGGGTGCAGCAGCAGCAGTAGTGGATTGGAGCACATCAGTAGGGGAAGTGGAGTGGGAGACTGAAGTAGGAAATGAGGACTGGGAAAGAGAAGTTGCAGGAAGAAGGGGAGAAGTCATGTCCTTTGCTAGAGACACTTCTATCTCCTGAGCCAGGCTATGTTCCCCAATTAGCGGATCTCTGAGGCATTCAGGATCAGCCTCCACGTTGGTCTGGGATCAACTTGTTTCAGAAACTCATCAATCATATAGAAAATAGGAGCCTGAGGATCACCGGTCAGCTGAGGAGTTACCTCTATAATGGCTCTAGGTAATTTTAGTAGCCGACCTAAAGTTATTGCCTTGTTCTGTACATCAAGTAATTGTCGAACAATGTTAACGGCGTCATCTTTGTTTAGCCTCTTATCTAGGACATCCAAAGAGTCACCAGCAGGTATTATAGTTTGGGTTGCTGCACCTGGCTCTGTGGAGACATATTCCATAAAAATGATGGGTCAGATATAATGCTGCTAGATATTAATATTTGTATTGTAGAAACATGGTTTGTGGTGCTGTTTGTAGAATGATCCACCATAACAGATTATACAAACTTTTCGTCGCGACAGGGATCGTCATGGTCGTGGATTTCTTTAGCTGCTGATCTGCATCTCTGTGCCACCGATATTGAGTTGCTTATTATTTCTGTAGTTCAACACAGTTAAAGAGTGTGTTGTTATAATTGGAGTCTGTAGATTCAGGGTGATAACAGTGCTCCCCAGACTTTTTGCAACACCAACTGATGCAAAAAAAGCTGAGAGATACGCTACTTCTGATATTTAGAATCTATTCAGAGGCACACAGTTCGGTGCAAGCTAAACACAGACAACTACATGCCTGTGACTAATGCTAGAACACAGACAGCGATAGTTCAAATGATAGCGGAACTTTAACTGTCTGATCGAGAGAAACTGATTAAAGAGAAACTGTCTTTAATTGCAAGTAATTTTGGCATACATGTTCTTTGTGATTATTAACCTTCGGTGCGCATGAGCGGTGAGGGTTACGCACTTGTCTTGTGTGTGTGTGTCCGTCTGTCTGCCTGTCAGCAGCTATTTTCTCGCACTACAGGCTACGAGGCGGCCCATGACGATACCAACGTCTTCAGATGATGTGGTGCTGAAAGTATTACATACGTAAATGATAATGTTTGCAGCTATGCACATACTGTGGTTTGCTTTGTATTTGGCTGCGCGGCTGAGCTCCTCAGCGCTCTGCCTAAAAACACATTGTGAGTTTTGAGTCCAATCTCAATGAAAAGCACTAAAGTGTGCGATGCGCTAAATGATGGGTTGGGCGAAGAGTCATCTCTAGGGTCAGGGTCTTCACAAACTGAAACTCTCTCAGCTGAAAGCAGAGAGTGGTGACGTCCAGGACAGTGCGATGCCCGGTAGTGACTGAGCGTAGACGGATATGAACTCTGCTAAACAAGAAGTTTTGCTGGTAATTTAAAAGATAGGCTAAATCACTGTGGTATGCTGACAAACTAAGCTGCAGAACCCAGCAACGTGTAAGTAACAGAGGTACCTGCGTAGAATAATACACGAGGAAAAAGAATAAACTCCATGAGGGAAAAAATGTAACTGATGCCTCAGAGATAATGGACTGTAACTGAGGTATCGGTCCTGACTCTATGATTGATCACTATGGAGTACAAAACTCAGGGTAATGGTTTCTCTAGGGTCAAAAGAAGTTCTCTAGTGTGTGGGTCAGTGTCTCACGAGTTTTTTTCACACCTATTTGGGGACGGAGATTCCCGATATAGAGAGAAACACCGTCCGTTTCGCCAGAATCACTGTTATCATGTACATGGTTATGTCGTTGCACTGTCACTATTGTCTTGTATCGGTCTTGTAGTCGTCTGTTCATGGTTACACAGTTGTACTCACCATGCCCCTTGTGGTTCCACTGTGTCTACAAAGACTGTACACTGTATTGAAAGATTATCCCGTGGCTAAGCCAAGATTCTACATGGTGGCAGCGGTGGGATCGTGCAAAAGAAGATGGCTCAGCTCCAGCTGAAACCTCCGGACCCGTTCAACTTCAGAACCCCGGACAACTGGCCATGCTGGCACAGACGTTACGAAATTCCACATCGCATCGGGTCTGGCTGATGCCGATGACGTTCAGCAAGTAAACACTCTTCTCTACTGCATTGGAGGGGAAGCAGAATCCGTTTTATCTTCAACTGGTATCACAGCGGATGAGAGGAAGCGATACAAAACCGTTATAGAAAAATTCGAGGAGTTCTTCATGGTGCGGCGAAATGTAATATTCGAAAGAGCCTTATTCAATCAGAATGAGGGGGAGACTGCTGAAAACTATCACAAGCTGGTGGAGCATTGTAACTTCAGGGAAATGCGAGAGGACTTGTCTTCGAAATCCGAGACACCGCTCTTTCCAGGAGTCTTCAACTCGACACCGAACTAACTCCGGAGAAAGCCAATAAGAAAATCCGGCAACAAGAGGCCTATCGGTCGAGCGCCAAGGAATGAGGTGTGGCACACCCCCGCGACAAACCTGCATTCGATGCTGCAGCGACTCACATCCTCCTGAACTATGTCCAGCGAAGGATGTTACTTGTCGTCGCTGTCAAAAGAGGGGACATTAAGTTCCCAGTGCTTAGCAAAAGTGCGACGCATGGGCTAAATGAGGAACTCGGTAGGCATAGGGGGAGGGAGGGGATGAAGGAGTGCCTGTTGTGTGATGATGAGTGTAAAAGTGTGAGTCATGTGTTGTGGGAGTGTCCAGCATATAGTAGTCTTAGGAGCAATTTCTTAGTTGCCCTGCAGGAGAAGCTTGGGGATGATGGGTTTGAGCATTTCCAGTCGCTTGATAGTTTCAGGAAAGCATCCTTTATATTGGGTAGTGAGCTGTGGGAGGATAAATTTGGTTCTTTGCTTCGCCTTGTTAAAGGTTTGATTTCGGATGTTTGGGAGCTAAGAAAGGTTAGGTTATATGGCGATAATCCCAGCGTACAACAGACCCAGTCTCAGATTGCGTCTGGGGAGCTGCAGGGTGTCACTGGTGGAAGGGGTGAGTTGAGGTGTCTGGGAGGTGAGACAGACACCGCATGTTCATATGGTGTATGTTCGTTTGTTAACGGTTCCGCCCATTGCTCTGGGTGCGTGGTCTATGGCCCTAGTGCTATGGCAGCCACCTGAGTATTATTATTATTATTATTAGCAAAAGTGCGAATTTCCGAACTCACGCAGGACCAGTCATTGGATTCTGCCTTCCTAGGCACTGTGGATCCACAACCATGGACGACCGCATGGTACATCACTCTCTCCGTCAATGGACATGATACCCAGTTCATAATGAATACGGGACCAGAGGTTATAGCAGTCTCTGAAGAAACGTATCAACGTCTAAAATCACCTAAAAATTTCGACTCCTAGCCAGACCTTGTACGGTCCCTCGCAATGCCCATTGAGGACAGTTCTCAGGCAAAAATCCCGTCATATCAAGGGAAATCAACATTACAGACTGTGTTTTTCTGTCAGTGGCTTGAAGACAAATCTGCTTGGAATGCCTGCCATCACATCGCTACCATTGGCAACCCGGATCGATTCAACTGAAACAGGAGTTGGCCAACAAGACTACCGCAATATGTTCCTTAACCTGTTTACAGGCTTGGGAAATTTGGAGCACCCTATGACATTCAGTTGAAGAAAGGATCCACTCCACCTTGTGTGTTTACCTCAAATCATGTTCCATTGCCACTACGAGAAAAAGTTAAAGCTGAGAGTGGATGAGCCTACCGAATGGTGTGCTCCCATGGTAGTAGTGCCAAAGAAAGATGGAAAATTCGAACCTGAATTGACATGAAGCCACTCAATGAATGTGTTCTGAGAGAGATTCACCCTCTCCCCAAGGTCGATGAAACATTGGCCCAGCTATCTGGGGCCAAAACTTTCAGCAAGCTAGACGCCAATAGTGGATTCTGGCAAATAACACTGGCAAAGACAAAATGTGACTACCCTTAACACACCTTTCGGCCGATACAATGTCTCAGACCTCTGTCGATTCTTAGGCAAGACCAATCAACAAGGAAAATCTTTCCAAAAATCTGGAACAGTTGACAAACCCCTCCGGGAACTATTCAGCAAGAACTGCACATGGATGTGGGGATCAAGTCAAACGGAAGCCTTTACCACGGTCAAAGAGGAGCTAACACAACCAACGGTCCTGGCATTGTATAACACTATGGCTTCAACGAACGAATATGTACTCAAGTGCGCAAATACTGAATGGAAGGGTGGCCAGACGAGAAAAAATCAGCAACGAGCTCAGGCCATATTGGAAAGCCTGAAGCCACCTAGTCATTAGTCTGGAGGGGCTACTCCTTTTCGGAAATGGAATCGTCATACCCAAACTTTTTGGACGGGAAACCCTCAACAGAATTCATGATGGTCACCAAGGAGGATGGGACAATGGGAACTCACCTGCTTCTAGTTCACTCACGACTTTGAACATAGTCTTCCAAAACAATAGAATCCTAATCGCACATTAGGCAGATCTGTCCAAGTCTTTCGGTAACTGTAAAGCCCACTTAAACGGAGTGCTGAAGCTCAAAAAATGCTTCTTAAACTGCAAGTCAATACTGACCGGGAATAAAGGAATCTGTAATAGGTTTCTACTATTAGGAGGGTTGGCGTAAAATCTATATTTGTGCTATATACTATGTTACATATCAGAGGTTTTATTGGCGAGCGGAAGCGAGCACACCTAGGCGTACAATTGGTGGTGCCATACAGCGTTGTATGTTTGTGTGTCGGTCTGTCGGCACACACAACATAATGTTTACATCATTATAAATACGGCTAATCAACGCAGTGTTTCGCGCAGCATTATAACTACTGGGCGCTCCTCCCGGATTGAAAAAGCCAAAAAATGGGCGTGAACAATTACTGCACATGCATAAAAATGCTATTACACTGTGCACAGTTGCGCTGCATATAGAGTAGCAAAGGCTTTAGGCCAGTAGGGGATTTCCCAACAGGAAGTGCTTTGAAATGTGAGTAGCAAGTCAGCCAGAAAGCTGAGGTAATTCATAATCACCCTGTTTGAGTATTACCTTGCGGGAAACACTGAATTAAAGTGCACACGCGATGCTGCGAGCCACGTGACTCAAAGTCTATGTATCTCGTCTTCTCCCTGAAAGCAACGATCTCCAAAGGCAAGCAATAAATCGCATCTGAGTGACGACTAGGTAGACATCAGCATGTTTGTATCCAAGAGAGGGAAAGAAACCTTAAGACAGTGTCTTCCAGTGGAAGAGTGAGAGACACGTCTGCCCTGCAGATAGAGCTCGGTGAAGATAACGTCTTGCTTCCGAGACAGTGGAAGAATGACAGACACGTCTACCTGCAGGAAGAGCTCAGCAAAGACATATTGCTTTGGAGAAAGCGGGAGAATGAAAGACACGTCTAGGTACTTGGCGAAGACGTCTTGCTTTGGCGAAGACGTCTAGCTGCAGGTAGGGTCCGGAGGACACAATTTTATGCTTTCGAGACAGTGGAAGAACGAGAGACAGGTTTAGCTTGCAGAGGACACGTCTTTCCTCCGAGACAGGGGAAGAGAAAGAGACATGGTTACTTTGCGGAAGTGCCTTCGTCTATGGAAGACTAGGCTCGCTCCTGCTCCTCAAAATACACAGCATTCCCCTAAAAATAACTGTTGGTCAAAGGTATCCACATATAGCAAACTTTCACTCACAGAAACACCCATGCACCCACCTTGGTCTACGTCTGTATTACATAAACTCAAGTATGCGAAACCCCTGTTGACAATGGACTCTACTCTGGAACAACCATAAAATGCTGCATAGAATGTAGCTTTAACACATTCTCAGAGTCCAATGCATAATATACCGACATCAACACAATAATAAGGTGTGTGCAAATATTTATACTGTTATAGTGCATTGAAAGACTTCATGATGACTTTCGCTGATGCATTAAAGCGGCGTTGTAACGGTTTGCAGTTTTTTTACACTATACAAACCTGGTATATCATCAGATATCCTGACTGGCTCTTCCTTCATCCACACTCCTCCTTGCCTCAGGAACTCATCTGTAAACATGTAGTTTTAATCTCCAGCATCAAAAACAGGTACACTACCTCCCACATGAGCACTTTATGAAAAGCACTAAAGTACAAGCCGTCAGTGCACTACATGCACATTCATGGTACGCTAATTGATGGGCTGGGCTATGAATATTTGTTTACTCATGGTCTCCAAGCTAGAAGCTCACAGAGAGTCTGACACTGGCTAGCTACACTATAGTAGATAGCGTGCGGGAGTCGACACATGCCCTTTGTTGTGACTTCTTGTGCTTCCAAGGTATCTACACAGAGCAAGCGGATCAGGTCGAGGTAAGCCCAGTGCGATTATGCACATCGCTTGTTTTCACGGCACATCACATAACACAGTAGTTTCGGGAAAATCGCTGTCTCATTTTTCAGGCCTGCGTAGTTCTGAAGCCGTTGGTATCATTTAAGGGCAACCTGGTAGCATGTAGTACAAACAAACACACAAACAGACTGACAGATAGACTAGGTATACTGTAACCCTCGCTGCGCATTCGCACCTAGGGTTAATGATGGAGGAATGCGGAAATCACAGATCACCTGAATTCCCACAATATGGTTGTGGTAACAATATGTAAATCGTGTGACTAAATATAGGTTATACTGCGCGTCAATGGAAATACGCGATTTAGACGGCACGAGGGGCCCCTGAGCTGTAGCTGTCTGAGCGCAGCGAAGACGCTACTAAGGGCTCCGAGGCCGTCTAAATCGTGTATTTCCATTGACAAGCAGTATAACCTGTTTAGACGGAGGCCGTGCCGGCTTTCAAAATCGTCCAGGTCCGCCGTCTTCCGAAAGACTCGCTCTTGCCGGGGGAAGCTAAAAAGGTCTTCAGTTTAGTTTCTTTTTGCATCGTAGAGAGGCCTTTCATCGAAGAGGCATCGGATATAGCGAGTTTGAAGTCGTCGCGGCGAGCTCTCAGCGACAGAGCGAGTTTCTTTGCGCGGAAGCTTGCCACACCCCCATCGAAGACGCCATTTTTCGGCGGGCGTCTCCATGGAAACACGCACTTGGGACATACGTGGATTTAGTACGTCAACATCGTGATACATTGCACAAGCAGTATAACCTGTTTAGACGGAGGCCGTGCCGGCCTTCAAAATCGTCCAGGTCCGCCGTCTTCCGAAAGACTCGCTCTTGCCGGGGGAAGCTAAAAAGGTCTTCAGTTTAGTTTCTTTTTGCATCGTAGAGAGGCCTTTCATCGAAGAAGCATCGGATATAGCGAGTTTGAAGTCGTCGCGGCGAGCTCTCAGCGACAGAGCGAGTTTCTTTGCGCGGAAGCTTGCCACACCCCCATCGAAGACGCCATTTTTTGGCGGGCGTCTCCATGGAAACACGCACTTGGAAAATACGGGATTTAGAATCCACGTTTTACGCAATCTGATTGGTCAATTTGAATCTGCCGACGTCTAAAAAGTACGTATTGTACATGCAATCAATTTTCTCTCGACACGTGCTTCTTCGTGTAAGTGGCTGTAGCTCTGTATAATATATGTTGGCTTTCTTTCTCCTTTTTACCAAAGCCAGTCCCTCTCCTTTGTTAGAGAAGAGCTGGTTCAGCAAGACTACTTACTTATTCCCAACTACCACTTCTTTCAGCCTCAATTTGATAAGCCGTCAACACGCAATCAGTTGAAGGGGCTACATTCGGAAATTTTTTTATATAGATGGCATGCAATAGGGCCCATGCATTAACACTTGTTTTTATGCTGAACCTTTTCGCTGTGCACAGAGTGAATCCCTTTTGCATTTTGCCCAATCTGTGTGGCTCGTGGCCCTACACACACGTTCACGGAACTAGAGGCATGAGCATGGTCAATCATGCAGGTCCAGAACAAAATTTACTACACTACAGTAGCATTCTAGTTAGCCATAAAAGCATAAACACGCGGTCACACCAGCTTTTCTCTAACACTAGTGCAACGCCCCTTTTTCGACCACAAGAGACAGGCTTATTTTCTCATCACCATCACTGCGGTATCCCAACCTTTAAGATCCATAGCAAGCCAATGCATGTGCCGTTTGCTGGATAATATATTCACGAAGGTCTGGAACACGCTCTCCCCTCCGTTCCCCATAACCAAGTCCAGCAGCTCGTCCCATCGGTGCTCTTTGGAAACCGTTTCATCCTTAGCAGCTACTCTTTCCTCCTCTCCAACGATTCCAGCCGCAAACAGCTCCTCTGCTAACCAGACAGGATCAAACTTTGACTCCTTTATCTTGGCCAAATTGACCAGAAGGACGCGGCGGGCTCGACCCTCCATACCCTGCTAACATCGAAAGCAGGGTGTGGTTCTGAAGTGAGGGGCGTGGCTCACATGAGTAAACAACCGCTAATTAATACGGGGGGATGGGGTGTGGCTACAACCTTCCGGTGTGTAACTGAAATTCCAGGGCGAAGGAGGGTCCGAAACGGGGCGTTATGTCGTGCGTATAAAAGCGTAGATTGCTCATGTCGATGTGCGCCGACGACAGTAGGCCTCAGTAATATTCGTGGTTCATGCCAGTAAGGGAACTCCTCTTGAGGGAGTGTACAGTTATATGTAGGAGAGACCGTGCAATCATTAGAAATCAATAGATAAGCAATTCAGAAATCACTTGTAATCAGTAGAAACCACGCGGAAATCTGGAAATCACTTCAAATCGTGGAAATCTGAAAATATTAGTTGAAAATCACGTGGAAATTTGGAAATCGGTAAGAAATCAAGACATCAGTTAGAGAAATCTCGTACGTCATAACGGCCCGAGTCGGACCCTCGGGCAAGAAGGTTTCTAGCTATCTCTGTACAGTTGACTAAAATTGTCTAATCTATAAGTAAATGCTCGTGTGGTTCCCACTGCAGGTAGAGTATAAAGCTAGCAAGGCTAGCTATCCCTCCACTGCCAGTACCTGCCCTCCTGGACTAATAACTTCGGGCGCTACG